GCATACTTAAAATATAAATAAAATCATTTGTTTAAAAATAGGAAGGGGAAACTGTTCAAGACAAAGTGGTAAAATAGAGACATGGACTGAGAATACACAATTTTTAGTTCACTTACTCCGTTCAAGAACTTTGAGATTTGGAGTGAGTCATGGTCTATACTTTGCAATCTATGAAAGAGAGATTACTTCTGCACACCTCTTTCTCTCAAGAGCAATAAACCAAAAGGCATAAAGTAGAAATTTCACCAATTCTGTAGTCAGTTATTCTTATAAGTATAGATTCATATTTGTCTCCTTTACCACAGCATAATGTCATTGAAGATTTTAGTTATAGTATATTCTTTCAAATTTTTGCAATTCCTACACCATATAAAAATTGAATGGAATTAAATTAGTCAATGTGTTTTAGTCACAAATTGCTATCATGTGACTATTAGAATAAACAATGTTCCTAATGCATTTACTAGTAAATATAAAATACATATAGAGTCTTGGAATGATATTATTCCCATTCCTATGAAACTCACCATGATGACCTAGAAGACCCCGCAACACCTTCCTCCTCTTGACTTGTGCATCTCTGTCTGCTCTTCAACTTCCTGCCTCAACAACACTGACCTCCAAGTAAGCACCAGTTCTTCACTGGGGTGAATGTTCTCACACTTGATAAATCTGCATGGATAATTCCCTCATCTTTTCTAGGTCTTCATCTTAAACTGTGTTTTTCATGCTACCTCATGTGAATAATGCACACAGAGACACACAAATACAAACACACACACACACACACACACACACACACACACACACACACACACACATCGTTGCCTTTCCCTGCTCTGTTGATAAATGGAATGCATATTAATTTGATGTGTTGCATCTTACTTATCTTCAACTTAAATGCAAGTTCTAGAAAGAAACAAAATGTTTTCTCTTTTCTTTAATACTGTAACCCTAGCATCCAAAGCAATACCTAACATTTTACCTGCCCTCTGTGCACTTACTTACTTACAGGTTCACTAACAGCTTAATATTAACTATTCAGTGTTCATTGACAAACCTCATGAGGTCTTATTTACCTTTTATAACAGTTTGCATCTGCACTTTATCAACAGATTCCCCTAACTGTTATGCTAAACTGAACATTGGAGCACATCGGAGCAACACATCAGAGCATGAGTGATTTATGTCTTGGATTAAGTAAATAGCTTTAGCAAGGGAAGGACAGTTGTTTTCGCATTTCGTTGTCTGGCTAACCTGTTTGGATTAGTTAGCATCAGAAGCAGTGTGAAAATTTCATTACATGATAAATGAGTCAACACAGGCAGCAAGAAGATGCCTTCCATGGACACATACATAGGAGAAATATTCTAAATGTAACTGTTGATGTCGGGGAATTTCAAAAAAAACATGTACAGAGCAAAAGGACATAATAACTAACACACATGGTCAAGGATTTGGGGCTACACACATGAAATAATGTAAGACGTACATCCTACTATAGTTCACAAATTATTTTCATTTTTTCTGAAATAGAATCATCCCTCTTCCACTAAAAACACTCCTACAGTCATCTGTTTGTTTAACACCAAATACAACCTACCTTGTTGCCAACACTGAAATGGAACCTGCTTCTCTGATGAGCACTGATGTTGACAGACACTAAGAGATTAATCCTCATTCTTACATGCACACACATGCCCACCTCCACCCCCAGATCTACTAAAGTCACACAGACTGACATATACTTACAACATATCATATGCTTGATCACACAGCCTACCCTGAGATCTGAACACCCCCATCCCCACCATGTGTGCATGCCAAAAAAAATCTATAAACAAATTAGAAAAATAAAAGACTTCCAGATACTGACTTGTACAGTGAACCTACTCAGTTTATACTGAAATTTTCACAAACTGTAGTAAAAGCTGACCCCCAGTTGCCCTTACTCACCCATTGCTGTGGTCTGAACTTCCTTTCATCAGAAAGAAAAAAAATGACCCTAACAGTCCATGTGAAGGCACATTCCCCATAAGTCAAGCTCTGAGGAGGTAGAGGATCAAGTGTTCAAAGAGTTCACCTGGGCTCCATAGTGGTTTTCAGACAAGCTTGTGCTATATGACAACTTGTCTAAGAAAGGAAGGGAGAGAGGGAAGGAGTAAGGGGAGGAGGAAAAGAGAGAGAAATAGAAAGAGGAGGGAATGAAGAATATTTCTGCCAATATTACATTTGCCCAGTAGTCCAAGCTGTTGTACATACTTTAGAATGGATATAAGAACTTATTTATAAAAACAGTACTAAATCTCAGCAGACCTCACCTTTTATTCTGACAGTGAAAACCAGGATGAACCCTCTCATACTTCCCCAGCAGTGTCTTGGGCATTAATATCTTGGGGTCGTCTCTCCAAGGATTCATTCTGTCCAAATTCCTTTTCCCATAAGTATTAATTTATTCCTTTTCTTTTTGTTCTAGTCAAACAGTTCCATTGATGTTAAAAGTAATAAAATTTTGGTAAAATGCTTTGCCAATTATGACGGAGAAAAGAGTGGCAATAATACCAAAGATGAGGTGGTACCACCACATTCCCTGTGAAATCTAACAACTAGTGAATGCAAAAAGTCATGAAATTTAGAGTAATATACTGCAAATTAAAATTCCTCACTTTAAACTGAGTTCTGCAAACACTGTTGATCATTTACAGTCAAACACAGAAGACTGAGCAATGGGAGTGTTTGGCTAACTTGTGGGGATTGGTGTTTATATAAACACTTGGCAGAAGTGGCAACTGGACCTATTGAAATACTGCAAGCCATCTAATAAATTCATTTGTGAAATTGTGATTAATATCATTTCTGAGTGTAAATAGAGTAATAATATAACTTGTGTCAATTCATCAAACATCACTAAAATCAACTTTAGATTCATTTTAATGTTATCCTTGTTTTCTCTGCCTCCCAGCACTATTTTCCCTGCAGTGCAGCCAAGCTTGCCAACAGTGTTAATCAATCTGTATTCAAGTCAGTTTCCTGTCCCTGCATTGACTCCAGAGACTCTCACTTGGATCGCCAGTAGAAAGGGAGGACTTTAAAGCTTGCAGATATGAAAAACTCAGGGGCTTCTACTTTTGATGACCAAAAGGTTTGACTGCAAGACCTCTTTGAAGATTTCCCACCAGAGCACCAAAGAACATGCTAGAGAAACAGAGGTCCTCCTTTCCAGTGTGTTTACTGATCAGATTGCAGACCTCCCATCTTAAACTATGATTTGCAGAGTTGAAGGCTCTGCTGGTGGAATCAACAAGTTCTGCTCTCTTTCTCCCCCATGTCTCTCTCTCTCTCTCCCTGTCCCTCTCCCTCTCTCCCTCCCTCCCTCCGTTCCTTCCTTCCTTCTTCCCTCCCTCCCTCTCTTTTTCCCCTCTGTGCTTCCCTCTCTTCTCATCTCATATAACCCACTATGGTATTTGTAGTAGACTTTCTTTTGGGGCTGCCACCCAGCTCCCAAATAAGATGTAAAGACTTATTCTTAGTTACAAATGCTGGGCCTTAGCTCAGACCTGCCCCCAGCCAGCTTCTCTAACCTGAATTAACCTGTTTCTCTTTATCTATGTTCTGCCTTGGGGCTTTTTACCTTTCTTTCCTTCTGTATGTATTACTTTCCTGCCTCTTCCCTGTCTGGCTGGTATCTTCCTCTCTTTCTCCTTTTCTTCCCTCCTACCAAGCCTAGATTCTTCCTATTTATTCTGTCTGCCAGCCCAGCCCATCCCTTCTCTGCCTAGCTCTTGGCTGTTCAGCTCTTTCCTAAACCAATCAGGTGCCTCAGGCAAGCAACACCTCTTTACATAATTAAACAAATGCAACATAAACAAATGTAACACATCTTCACATCATTAAAGTAATATTTCACAACATAAATAAATGTAACACATCTTTGCCTATTTAAACAAATATTCCACAACAGATATTGAACTCCTTATGGAACTGGAAACAACCTTGAACTCCTTCCAAGGCCCCTGTCTCTACCTCCTGGGGTTGGGTTTCAGGTGTGTGCCTCCAAATGTGGCCTTAACAGTTTTAACTTCCAAATGTGACTGTTATTGGCAGACCTAACTCATATAAGTTATCTGTGGGGGGCTGGAGAGATGGCTCAGAGGTTAAGAGCATTGACTGTTCTCCCAGAGGTCTTGAGTTCAAGTCCCAGTACCCATGTGGTGGCCAAAACCATCTGTAATGAGATCTGGTACCCTCTTCTGTGTACATAATAAATAAATAAATCTTAAAAAAAAAAAAAAAAGTTATCTGTGGAGTCTGCCAAAGGACCCGGGTTTTATTCCCAGCCCTCACATCGCAATTCATGGGGTCTGTAATTCCAATTCCAGAGGATCCAATGCCCTCTTCTAGCCTCTGCTGGCACTGGGCACTCACATAAAGCACAGACATATATACGAAAACAGTGATACACATAAAACAAAAAACTGTTTTGGTTTTTTTGTTTGTTAGTTTGTTTGTTTCTTAAGAGAGTCTAGCAGGTCGATCTCAGTCCTCCGGGGTGGCCTTGATCTGGAGGTGGTGGGAATGGGGGGTGGGCTGGGGGGAAGGGGAGGGGGGCAGGAAGGGGGAGAACAAGGGAAACTGTGGCTGTTATGTAGAACTGAATAGTATTGTAAAATAAAAGAAAAAAAAAGAGCATACAAAGATCCTGAAATATTACAAGGGTTCCAGGAAATATGACAAGACGTACTCAGTGCAGGAGAACAGCAGCCAAGGTAAAACCCAGGTTGCAGCATTTGACTCTACTTGAAGAGAGTGGGTCAAAGAAGGGGGAAACCCAGCATTGAAGAGTTCCCCATTTCCTCGCAGTTTTCACTTCTTCATAACTCAACCTTTGTCGTATACTTTTGCATGGACACTGATGACACCTCCCCAATTCTCATTGCAATTGGGTGGCGGATACCCAGAGAATCCAATCAGCGTTACCCCAATTCCGGGATTTAAAGTGACGCCCGGGATACCCCGGAAGGATGGCGACTTTAGACTACAGGGCCCTCCTCCTGCTGTTGGTGGTCGCTCTGGCTGTTACCCATACTGGCGCCGGTGAGTTCAGGAGTCCGGAGGGAAACAACCTCTAAGGGGAGGAGCAACCGCATGGCGGGGAGGGGGGGGGGCGGGGGGGCGGGGGGTGTCAGGCCCTCCTGCTCCCTTCTCCACCCGGCCTGAGCTTCCGCATCCCCACCTCCGCGCCAACGCTAACCTGCCCGGGTTCTCAGAGGGTCGTAGTCTCACCCCAAGCCGCCCCCAGGCTCCCACTCTCTGCGCTATTTCCACACCGCCCTGTCACGACCGGGCCCTGGGGAGCCCCAGTACATCTCTGTTGGCTACGTGGACGACAAGCAGTTCCAGCGGTGCGATAGCAATGAGGAGATCCCGAGAATGGAGCCACGTGCGCCGTGGATGGAGCGGGAAGGACCGGAGTATTGGGAAGAGCTGAAACACAAAGTGAAGAACATTGCACAAGAGGCTAGAGCGATCCTTCGGACCCTGCTCCGCTACTACAACCAGAGTGAAGACGGTGAGTGACCCCAGGCGTGGGTCGGAGGTCACAACTCCTACATGTCCCCACAGACAGCTCGAGTTGCCCTGGGTTCCAGGTTCGAGGTATGAAGGTAGGCTTCAGAGCCCTCAGAAACCCTGAACCCGGTTTCACTTTCAGTTTAGATCCAAATCCTGCAAATGGGTGGAGCGGGCCGGGTGGCCCAGGCTGACAGCCCTGTTGTTGCCAGGTTCTCACATCCTGCAGTGGATGGTTGGCTGCGATGTGGGGTCAGACATGCACCTTCTTGGCGCATACTATCAGTTCGCCTACGATGGCCGGGATTACATCACCCTGAACGAGGACCTGCGCTCCTGGACTGCCGGGGACATGGTGGCTCAGATCTCAAGGCGCAAGTTGGAGTCCGATGGTGCCGCAGAGTACTTCAGGGCCTATGTGGAGGGGGAGTGCCTGGAGCTGCTCCACAGATTCCTGCAGAATGGGAAGGAGACTCTGCAGCGAGCTGGTATGAAGAACAACTAGGAACCACTTTTAGTGAGCAAAGACATCCTCTCAACCCTAGGAGTGAGGGAGGCCCTAGTTGTCTGGGGAGGAAGGAAGTGCAGCATCAGCTGGAATACTGCCTCTTGCATCTGGAGGAGAAAGAGTGCTCCTGACTTTCCTGATCCCACATCAGAGAGTAACTCTCCCCAGAGCTCACCCTTCTTTCTGAACAGTTGAATCTGCCCCAGAATAGAAGAAGGAAACATCCCTGAAATAAGCAACCAAGCAATTCGATTCAATCTGCAGCCCATTGTGAACCATGTCCTCTCCCAGGCCTGGTTCTCTGCCCACCCTAATGTCTTTGGTGGTCAAGCTCCACCAATGCCGAGTCTCTCAGCCCAACCCAATCAGGACCAGAAGCGAGAAACCTGGAGTCTCCTACTTGGTACTGTCTCACCTTCTTAGTTAGGGTTTCTACTGCTACAAAGAAACATCATCTCAGGAAGTCAGGACAGGAACTCAAACAGGGCAGGAGCTGATGCAGAAGCCATGGAGGGGTGCTGCTTGCTGGCTTGCTCCTCATGGCTTCTCAGCCTGCATTCTTATAGAACCCAGGACCACCTGCCCAGGATGACACCACCTACAGTGGACTGGGCCCTCCCACATCAGTCACCAATTAAGAAATAACTTATACGCTTGCCTACACCCGATCTTATGGAGACGTTTTCTTAATTGAGATTTCCTACTCTCAGGTGACTTTAGCTTATATCGAGTTGACATAAAACTATCCAGCATACTCACCCTGATTCTAGAACATTCCAATAAATAGTTTATGCTAGACATCTGAATCTAGGCTCCGATATAGTGGTTGCACCCCTCCCTCACCCTAATTCTGTCTGTTCCAGAATGAGCCCTGACGAGTCCCCCCACCTCTGAAAAAAATGAAAAATGCTTGAAATTTCCAACTCTTCCCCTCAGACCCACCAAAGGCACATGTGGCCTATCACCCTGGATCTGAAGGTGACATCACCCTGAGATGCTGGGCCTTGGGCTTCTACCCTGCTGAGATCTCCCTGACCTGGCAGCGGGATGGGGAAGACTGGACTCAGGATATGGAGCTTGTGGAGACAAGGCCTTCAGGAGATGGGACCTTCCAGAAGTGGGCAGCTGTGGTGGTGCCTTCCGGGGAGGAGCAGAGATACACATGTCATGTGCACCATGAGGGCCTAACTGAGCCCCTCACCCTGAGATGGGGTAAGAATGGGTAAGGGCAACAGAGTCAGGGAAAGTAAGAGCCTAGATCAAGATCAGGGCTGAGAACTGGGGATCATGACCCTGACTTTCAACTCCTTTCCCAGAGAGATCCTCTCAATCCTCTATCCTCATCATCATCATCATTGCTGGTCTGGTTCTCCTCGGAACTGTGGTCACTACGGCTGTGGTGTGCAAGAAGAGGAGCTCAGGTAGGCAAAGGGGTGGCCTGAGTCTCCTTTCACACCTGCGGACTCCAGGTCTTAGGTAGAATTTTCCTTGCCTCCTCTCTGGGAAGGCCTTTGGCCCACCTTCTCAAATGACATAATTCATTGTATTTTATTGTCTGTCTATGAGTGTATGATGTGGGTGCTTGTGTGTATAGTCTAGCTATTCAGTGCAGCATGTGTGTGTAAGCCAGAGGTGTACTGTGTATCTTCCTTTATCTTTTCTGAGATGGGACCTCACCAATTTGCTTAGAAAAGCTAGACAGTAAACTCCAGGGATTCTCCTATTTGTGCCTCCCTAGTACTAGGATTACAGATGCAAACCAACCACATGCAGACTCAAAATACACAATTTAAACAATTTACTTCTAAATCCCAAATATTTAAATCTCAAAAGGTCAAAATTACAATTCTTGGAAAATATTTTTTAAAGACATTTACTTACATTTTTAAGAGGTTTTTACTTAAGGTACATTAAAGTATTACAGAACAGAGGCCACTGTATCCCATAAAGCAGGCAATAGCTTACATGTTTGCATGCACAAGCCCTCAGATACACTAATGAAAGTCACACTGAGCAACACAAACTAGGAAGCAGCATCACAAATAAATACTCACCTGGCCTAAGCCTCTGTGCTGGCGATCTACTGAAAAGTGCATGGGAAATAAAGGCCATATTCTTTTTCCAGGGTCAAAAGTCAGAGCAGAAGCTCACTGTTGAGAACAGTCCTCCAGAAGAGTTTGCTGCTCTTCCTTCCTCTCTCACCATGTTTCCACATCCTTCCCTGGTCTGCAGTCCTAGTTCTGGCAGCTTCCCTTGGGTTATGAGTAACCCCTTTCAATAGATCTTCGTGGCCCTGCTGCTTTTCCTGGCCTCTCACTCACTTTTTTCTTTCCACAGGTGAAAGAAGCATCAGTTATACTCAGACTGCCAGTAAGTATGGTGGGATATGGTCCTGATATGGGGCAGAGTCGACAGGAGCCTGTGGGGGAGCAGAGCCAGCCCATCACTCCTTCTTTATCCCCGTCTTCTGTGGGCTCTGATCAAGTCCCATTTGTTCCGCCCCAGGCAGGAACAGTGCTGAAGGCTCTGATGCTTCTGTCACCATTTAGAAAGGTAAGATCTTGCAGGGACTAACCTGTGACATGTAGTGGGACAGAGCACAGACTCCTGGGTTATAACTCTAAAAATTGGGACATTTTGAGTTGAGCTCTTCAGAGTGTCACCATTCCCAGAGAATAGTCTGAATCTCTTCCTGTTTTTTTCTACAGTATGAAACTGCTGCCTTGTGTGGTTCTGAGTCTTATAGGATGTGTTCAGATCTCTCCTTCTCCACTAGGACTCCAGGAGTCTCCCAATTTCTCTTTCTGCAGTTGGCATCTCACTCTGTCTCCTGTCAGCACAATGTGATGAAGTGGGCAGCTGACACCAACTCTGAGGCCTGAGTCTCTTCCCCATGCCTGTGTCTTATCCCCAGTCTCTCCTGTTTTACCACAGGCAGAGATGGGACTTCCCCATTCCTCATGGAACTTCAGGTTTCTCTAAGCTGTGGCTTCCTATTTCCCTACTGAAAGTAAGGATGTAGATATAGCTTTATTGTTTTTAACTTCTAGGTGTGGTTTGTTGGGTCATTAAGAGAGGAAGATTTGCAAAATTGACAGAAAATAAACCTGAAAACTTCCAAAACCCATGTGTTTAATATATTTAATCTGCTATAGGTGGGCAGGAGAAGTCTGGAGAGCAGAGTGTGGCTAGATTTTGTCAGTGCTGCATATGTGGGCGTGGATGCAGTCATCTCCTCTGCCCTTGAACCTCAGCAGAATGAAATGGATTTGGCAGGTGATATCATGTAACATATTTAATGTCTAGAGAATTGATGAAGCCACCTAAGGAATGACTAAGATGAGAAAGGGAACAAGGATTGAGCCCTGAGGCTCTTGTACTAGCAGTTTCATTAGATCTTGGTTGTTGTCTGTACAGAGCTTTTGTATTGACAGTTATCTAAAATACAGTGATGAGTTATAACTTTCATGGATTTTTTACCCTAGTAATTTTAATGCTTCAGGATTTCACTATGCCCCATTTCCTCCATTGGAATGGTAGAGTAAATTCTGTGCCATTGTATATAAGAAGTATGTGATTTGCTTTTTGCTTTTGATTTTACAGAGGATTCCAAAGAAGAAATCTCCTTGAGTCTCAGAAGAAACTTTGGACTTAGAAATCTTAAACTGTATAGAGACTGTGAAAAACTATGGGGCCTTTCGAAATTGGACTAAACACATTTTGCATATGATATGGCCACAAGCCTATGGGCTTCATGGAATGGAATGTGGTGGTTTGAATAAGAATGGCCCCCATAGGCTCAAGTATTTGAATATTTGGTCCCCAGGTGGTGGAACTGTTTGAGAAGGATTAAGAGGTGTGGCGTTGTTGGAAGAGGTGTGTCACTGGGGCTGGGTTTTGAGGGTTAAAATGTCCACACTATTCCTAGTTAGCTTTCCCTGCCTCCTGACTGTGTCTCCAGATGTAAGCTTCAGCTACTGCTCCAGAACCATCCCAACCTGCCTCCTGCCATGCTCCACAAAATGGTAACCATGGCTCTAACACTTTGCAACTGTGAGCCCCCAATTAATTGTTTTCTTTTATACGTTGACTTTGTCATGGTATTTTTGCATGACAATAGAAAAGTAACTAAACAGATGAATCCACTCATTGGTCATCCAATGTAGAGTGGTCAGCCCTGAAACCACATATACATAAACAACAAACATGGACTTGGAAGATTTCATATGTGTATATATAAACATATACATACATAGTATTTTAACAATAATCAAAGAAAAAGTGGCTATCAAGTTGAGCATCGAGAAGGGATTCAGGAGAGTTCAAGGGAGGGTAAAACTGGAATGGGCTGAAGCAGTGGTTCTCAACCTTTCTAATACTGTGACTCTTTAATGCAGCACCTAATATGGCAAGCCACACTATAAGATTATTTTGTTGCAGTGGGAACATAGGCTCTTTCCAACTCTTTTACTGGCTTTAGGGGCACTACTCCTCATACTAGGTTGCCTTGCCCAGCCTTAATACATGGGAAAGGTGCTTAGTCTTATTGCAACTTGATATGCCATATTTTGTTGATTATCATGGGGGACCTGCCCTTTCCTAAACAGAAACAGAGGAATGAATTGAGGTGTGGGAAAAGGGGGGGGGTGTGGGGAAAGGGATTGAGGACAGGAAGGAGGGGAAACTGACAGGGATGTAAAATAAATTTATTTTTAAAAATCATTTTGTTGTTACTTCATAACTGTAATTTTGTTACTATAATGAATTATAATGTAAATATCTGATATGCAGGATATCTGATATGCAACCCCCAGGGGGTCATGTTATGACCCACAGGTTGAGAACCATTGGAAGGGAGGAAGAGGACAAAAGAAAGTGATGTAGTTCTATTTCAATTAAAAACCTATTTTAAAAGAAAAAGACAAGAGACATTGTCAAGGGAGTTGATGAGACTTCAGCAACAACAACATGGAGTCCAGAGAAGTTGTTGAAGTAAAGATGACTAAGAAACAGTGACCATGATATCTCAGCAGAATTTCTTATTCACTTGTAACATTTGGGGGTGGTTTTTGCAAGGTGAAAGTTTGTGGTTGAGAGATACATTTAGTGGGCATTTGGAAGATGTTACAAGTTATACATGAAGGAAACTGTGATTGACTATACAGATTATGGTGTTAGAATTGCATTTAAAGGTCTGGAAATACCAGAATTATGAGTTTGGTTAAACAAGAAGTTTATACAATGAAAGAGTTGGAGGAAGGATGAAATCTAGGGAAGCAGTAATTTTTTTTAAGGATGTGGGGCTGGAGAGATGGCTCAGCAGTTAAGAACACTGACTGCTCTTCTAGAGGAAGCAGTTTTGATTACCAGCACTCATGGAGCAGCTCACAACCATCTGTAACTCCAGACACCCTCTTCTAGTCTCCAGGTACTAGGCATGCATATATGATGTACAGGCATATATGCAGGCCAAAAAAAACCCTCTTGTACATAAAATAAAAGGAAAAAAATTAAAGAAGAAAGAAAGAACAGGAATAGGTGCAAGGTAAGTTAAGCCATCCTCATTTTGCACATTCTCTGCATCATCTTGTAGCCCTATCAGTTATAGGATTGCAATGGAAAGCAGAGATACACTAAAATTTCTCCAGTTACTATCAAGCAGAAAACTGAATGACTCCATGGAAAATGTCTCCACAAGAAACTAAACTATCACTGAGTTTATATCCCTTGACTTCCATGAAGACCCTCTGGTTTGTGTGTTCATTATCATCTATGCGTCCATCACAGGGAACATGCTCTTTGTAGTGGTGGTAGACAGTTCTCAGAGGATTCACACCCCCATTTATTTCTTTCTGGTGAGCCTGTCCTTTGAGATCCTTTAGCCCTCCACAGTGGTGCCCAAAATGTTGGAGGGCTTCCTACAGGAGTCTGCCATCTTTGTGACCGGCTGCTTGTTCTAGTTCTTCATCTTTGGCTTTCAGGCTATGGATGAGTGTTTTCTTCTGTCTGTGGTATTTGATCACTACCCTACAATACCCACTCCTGATGGGGCCTCAATGGTGTCTGGGATTGGTGCTCATAGTCTGGCTGTCTGGCTTCATAGTAGGACTGATTGTTGCTATGGTGGTCCCCCTGAGATTCTGTGGCCCCAACCAAGTTGACCACTTTTACTATGATTTCTCACTTTTGATGGTCCTGGCCTGCTCAGATACTGGAGTGGCCTAGGTGACTACATTTGTTCTTTCTGTTTTCTTCCTGACTGTCCCCTTTGGGCAGGTTCTGATATCCTATGCTCAGATTGTAGTGACTGTGCTATGTTGTGTGGTAATCTTTTTGTACACTGTGAAGATGTGTCTCTGCCAAGGCACCTTCTGATTGGTTTAATAAAGAGCTGAACAGCCAATAGCTAAGCAGGAGAGGATAGGTGGGACTTCTGGGGAGGGAGAGGAACTTGGGGGAAGAATCTGGTATAAGAGATTTGCCAATGAGACTCGGTGAAAGTCAGACATAAGCTGTATTGAAGAAAGGTAATGAGTCAAGTGGCAGAATGTACATTAATATAAATGGGTTAATTTAAGTTATAAGAGCTAGTTGGGAGCAAGCCTAAGCTAAGGCCAAGCTTTCATACTTAATAAGAAGTCTCTGTGTCATTATTTGGGAGCTGTTGGTCCAAAGAAAGTCTGGCTTCTCTGGAGCCAGAAGAACAAAGGCTTTCTCTACATGCTCCTCCCATCTGACTATGGTGTCCATAGTCTATAGAACACTCATGGTCTTTCATATTGTGCCCATTGTCCATTCCCAGCTCCTCACCAAGGTTGTTGTCCTGCTCTACACAGTGGTCACTCCCATCTTCAACCCCGTCATCTATACCTTGAGGAACCAGGAGGTACATCAGGCACTAAGAAGGCTTCTCTACTGCAAAGCAACTGAAGTGACCTAAGGAGAGCAGTGAAGATTTTCTATTGGACTTTAAGGGTCTTGCTTGAAAAGTCTCCCACAATGGGCTGGGGATGAGTACTTCATTCTTTCCCAGAATTTCCCTTTAGGTCTTCTGAATTATGCCCAAGAGAAAGATAATAGTTCAACAATTTTCAAATGTTAATTTAAAAAATTATGTAAACTACTTTGAGTTGTTTATTGGATACACCATAAATAGTACACTGATTCAATCATTAGTGTAGACATGTACTAAATTGTCACTCTGTAGCCTGTTGCTATATGTGGTACTGCTACTAATAATTAGTGAAAGGAAAATTATAGAAACAAAACACCAATACAGAAACAAATCTAGAGCAATGCTCATTTATATTATTGTAGTATGACATTTGATGTGTGTAGATGTAACCAACTATCTTATTAAATAAGAAACACAGAACCAATGTAAAAGAGAAAGCCAAGAGGTCAGAGCTCAGAGCTAAAACCTTACCCTTCCTGCGGTGCTTCTACCTCTGTGAAAAGAGAGCTACTTCCTGTGTGTTTGTCCTTAATATAGTCTTTCTGTTCTGCCTTCTCATTGGTTGTAAACCCAAACACATGACTGCCTCGTCACTGCCTGTAAGTATAGCCCTCCAGGTTTTAAAGGCATATGTCTCCAATGCTGGCTGTATCCCTGAACACACAGAGATCTATGGGATTAAAGGCGTGCGCCACTACCGCCACGCTCTTTCTATGGCTCTAATAGCTCTGACCCCGGGAAACTTTATTTATTAACATACATTGAAAATCACATTTCAGTACAAATAAAATACCACCACAGAAGTGTTCTTTCCTATTGTGTGTATTTGGGTTTGAGCATGCAAATTTGATGATGGAATTTGCAATTTGCTTTCCCACAAAATGTTACATCATAAGTAACTTTACACATATCATACATATACACATACAACAACAACAGTAATAAATTATATTAAAAGGAATCCTGTAAGATATTCTCCAATATTGACCTAGGTTATGGTCAGCCTCACCAGCTTCCTGGCCTCTTACTTATGATTTAATTTCTGTGAACTCTACAGCTCCCTTTAACATGATTTGTCAGTAGCATCCAATTTCAGGACAATAAGGATATCAGGGAGATGTTGTTACTAAAGCACTGGTAGAAATTCTAATAATTAGCAAATGATTGTACTGGTTGCAGTGGATATTCATGCTTCAAGAACATGAGTGTAAGACAAAGAATGGCAAACACAACATAGTGTTATTTCCAATAGATCATTGATTTGTTACTTTTCTTGTTGCTGTGACAAAATACCTGGCAGAAGTGATTTAGGATTGAAAGTTTTATTTTACTCATGGTTTGAAGAATACAGTACATGAGAATGAGGAAGGCCTGGCAGCAGGAGGATGGGGTGGCAGGTCATGTCTGTGGTCAACGAGCAAAGAGAGGTGAATATAATGACATTAAGGTAGGTTTTTCCATTTGCTCTTTATAATAAGTCCAGGACCATTCTATGGAACAAGTGATGCCACCCACATTCAGGATGAGTCTTCTCTCCTCAGTGAAATCCCTCCAGAGAATCCTCACAGACATGCCCAGATATGTATGTTCTAGATGATTACAAATCCAGTCAAGTTAACACTGAAGATTAGTCATAGCAATCATACAATTCTCCCATGAGCCATTGTGTTAACTGACTCACTTTGCATGTGTGGTAGTGATGTGGGGTGTGATCCTTTCTGAGTGATGATCCTTAGCCCTGAGACTTCTCCATGTTCAGAAATTTTCTCAGTGAACTCTTAACATCCTTATTTCTCAGACTATAAATGAAGGGGTTCAGAGTGGGAGTTACCAGGGTATACATGACAGCAGCTACCACCTCCCCAGATGAGTGAGAACTAGATGGGGGCTTCAGGTATGTGGCAAAGACTGTACTGTAGAAGAGGAGGACCATAGAGAGGTGGGAACTGCATGTGGCCAGGGCTTTCCTTTTCCCCTGTGCTGATGAAACCCTAGCCACAGCATAGAAAATACAACCATAAGAACTTAAAATGCAGAGAAGTGCACCTAGTCCTAAAACCCCAGCCAAAGCCATCATCAGGGACTCATTGAGTTGGGTATTGGAGCAGGAAAGCCGTAAAAGAGGGCCAAAATCACAGAAAAAATGAGGAATCTCTTGGTTGTTAGGAAAAAATAACTGGGAGATCAACAAGGTATGGACCAGAGACACACAATGAGCTACTCCCCATGACCCACTAGCCAGAACCCCACATCTGCAAGAAGTCATTAGAAGTGGGTAGTGCAGTGGGTGGCAGATGGCAGCATAGCGGTCGATAGCCATGACCGCCAGAAGTAGGTTATCCATGTCCGCAAAAACAGCAAAGAAGTACAACTGAGTCAGACATCCAGAGAATGAGATTGATCCATCTCCAGTCCACAAAGTCTCCAGCATTTTGGGGGTTGTGGTAGTAATGAAACAAAGATCAATGAGGGAGAGCTGACTGAGGAAGAAATACATAGGGGTGTGGAGGTGGACATCAGCACCAATAGCTAATAGAAGTAGCAGGTTCCCTAGGAGGCCCAGCAAGTAGAGAGCTAGAAAGATGCTAAAGAGAGGCTGCCATCTCTCTTGGTCTCTGGACAGTCCTAA